GAATAATTTAGAATTGATGTATTATTGTGTTTAAGCTATATAATGTAATTTTTAATGTATTAAATGTATTCTTTTAAAACCTTGTTGAGTAGTTTTATTTATATAATAAAAATTTAATTGTGGTTAATATTGTATTTAATAGAAATGCTATAAATTTAAAATGGACTGTTTTGCAAATAGTATAAATGAAAGGTGATATCCCTAATTTTGAAATAAATATAATATTAAAAATATTCTTTTGAAGTAGAAAATAGAGTAATACATTGGAGTAAAACTCAACTGCATTTTGGAGTTACTCCATTTTAAAGTAGAAAATGGAGTAATACATTGGAGATGCTCTTAAGTTGGTAAAGTTGGTGCGGCATTTTTCAAAACTATATTTAAGAGGGTTTCCGGAAATGACAATATAACTTGGTTACACTCATTTCTTATTTTAGAGAGAGCTACATGCCTACACACTTCTCAGTTCTCAATCAGTAAGAGTATCATCACTCTATACACCAAATAGCAGTTGCGTGCTCTGTCTACTTGGCGAGCATTCATTACTAATACCATCACAAAATGGATGTATAATTCCTTACGACTGCAATATACAGTACTTATTAATTTAGTAGGCATACATATTAATTATCAACTTGTTGATTTCATGTATGTTTTTTAAGTTCTAGAACACGGTTATAACGTTATATGCGTTAAATGAACATATTACAACATTAGACTACCCCAGTTATAATTAATTAATCTGAAATTGTATACTTCTAATTATTGAGATGGAGTCCCTACCCGCAAAGATTTTTCAGTGACTTCATGGTTATACCGAGAGGTTGAAATCTATGTATAAAAATATTGTATTAAATAGGTCAATAATTGATAAAGGGGGTCTTATATACAATAACATTGTATGCCTCTTACATGATGTTCCACTCAAATAGGTGCCTATCTTTAGTCAAAGAAAAAAGGGTGCCTATCTTGTGAATATAGACGTATAATGGAAGATCTCTTAGATGTTAACCCTTACAATTATCAATTATTGACATGTAACATCGAATATAATACGAGCTAGTAATTTTATCCGTATACTATATATAGAATAAACAATCTATTTTGAAATGATATCTTTCTTTATTAATTAAAAAAGAATATGACACTATATCATGAAAGCAACTATATATACATTGTTATACAGAGGCCAGTGTTAAGGTTACTGTTCGTTTACCTAGTATCAGAGCTAAGCGCCCATGTAGTTGTGATTTGTGAAGAACCTATTTTAGTCTTTGGTTCAATAAGAAGGCCAAAACATAAACTCATTCCATAGAATTGTTCTTTATTGTGTTGGAAAGCCTCTGAACAAATGATCTGAGAGGGGTTTAATTGTTAAGGCTTACTAGTTACTAGATTAGGCATGTGGGAAATCACCCGTGAATTTGTTTCCTTTGTTGCACGGCTAAACTTTCTCAAGTCAAACTGGATTGGTGTGTTCCAAGTACAAACCTATACACAGTATGAGAACTGAGTTTCGTGACTGAGAGACGAGAGCACTAGAGAAGATACATCGTGTACGTAGTGAAACTCTGTTAAAAAAAGTACTTGAATAGTAAAGAGTATTCCTCCTTGTCGTTACCGCGACACCTTTAGCCAGTGTATGAATATATCAGAAATTTATATTATCGTAAAATCTAAATTGCAGAAAAGTGATAATAAATTTGGCAGTTTTATAGGATGTGCACGATTGTATAGTCATGGAGAGCCAATGGACATAAACACTTACACTGTAATATTTAAGATGAGTATCTTAAAAATATCAGTATCTCATATTTAAAAATAAAGAAATTCTCAAATGATTTTATATTGTATAGAAACTTATGACATTTATCTCACAAGAATAAACTGTTATTTTGATTAAAGATTAGTTATACATCAAAATATTTATATTTTCTAAAGGACCTCTTAAGTATTTTTGTGGATGAAATAAATGCTCAATAATTGAAGTTGTTTTATACACAAATGATCGAATTTGATATCGTATATACATCAAATATTAGATTTATTTTGCACCAAAAAAATATTAGATTTATTTAAAGAAACTCCCTTTTTTCGTCATGTGGATATTCTCTAAAATAAATTATAATTTTTTAAATTTTGCACAACATTTTTTTTTTAATTAGTTAAATCGAATTAAGAAAGAAAAAAAAAGAATGGGGGACATGGGAGCGTGTTGAGTCCACGAGAAAAAGCGTAAAACGACAACGTTTTTAAGCATAACGTCGTGTCACTTTCTTTACCTTTCTTCCATCGTCTCAAAACTATCTCCTTCTCTACCACTTCCCCTCACCTTTACCAAACACACACACACACACACAAGCCAAGAGACTACTCCTTCTACACTCATCACCTCTCTTCTCTCCAATGGCTGCCATTACCACATTCTCCGCTCTCTCCATCCCCATCTCTCCTCCTCCTACGTCGTCTCCTCTACTCAACTCCCCTCCCTGTCTCTCCAGATTCTCAAACTTGTCTCCGTTTCCCTCACTCTCCACCTCTCGCCGGAGAAAGATTCTAACGTGCTCTTCTTTTAGAGAAGGAGATGAAACGGTTGAAGAAGAAACCAGAGGTGGTGGTGAGGAGAGTAAAGAGACTCTGATGTTATCAGTCTCTCCTCTGCCTCTCCTCCTCGTTGCTTCTCTCCCTGGAGGTAAACACAACCTCAAAGTTATGAACTTTAAGTAACCCATTTGTTAGAGAACGTGTTTGTTTATTGATTAGTTGTATCAAGTTTTGGCCTTTGTGACAAATGTTGAAGTTTAATTCACTAGTGAACACTTGGACCCAATAAGGTTTTGTAAATGACAGAGTTATTATGTTAATGTTTGTCTTTGCTTGTGACAGCTGGAACTGTAAGATCTGTTATTGGACCCTTTGTGGAGATTGTGAAGTCATTGGATCTACCTGATTGGCTTGTGCACTGGGGTCATCCTGGGAACATGGTAAGCTTCCTCTTCATTACCAAGTTTCATGCTTTTTAAGTTTTTTAACCTCATTTGAAAGTACCCACAGACATTGTGTTCGAAAAGCCTGTTTCTTTAGACATATATGTTCTGTTTCGGTGGATGAACTTGTTCTTGTTTTGTATTTTGTGACGTGTTTCCTCTCAGGCAGTGGTTCTTTTTGCTATGGGTGGATATGGAACATACTTAGGCTTCAGGATTCGTTATTCAGATGACATTGTAAGAGAGATGTTAACTAAGTATATATAATGTTACAAGAACCGTTGTTGTTGATTAGAGAGTGTTTTTGTTTTTGTTTGAAAATGGGTAGGAGGAGAAGGCAAAGGCGAAAGACCTGCATCCGAAGCTTCTAGCAGGAATGTTTTTCTTCTTCGCCCTTGGAGCCACTGGTGGTATCACATCCCTCCTTACTTCAGACAAACCCATCTTCGAAAGGTATCTTTCCTTTCTCACATATACTTAACTCTCATTGTAACAACGAGAGATGATGACCCTCTATGAACTTAGTACTAGAAATGATTGATGACCCTCTTTGAACTTATTACTAGAAAAATAATGACCCTCTTTGAACTTAGTATTGAGTTTATTTTCAAAGAAAATAGTATAATATGGTTGTGGGGTTTGTGCAATGTAGCCCACACGCTGTCACAGGATTCATAGGTCTTGCTCTCTTGACGATTCAAACAGTCTTACCAACATTGTTCAAGGTAAAAAAAAAATAGTGTACTGCTGGATCTTGACACCGATCTTATATTAGTTTTGGGGATCAAGAAACTGGTTGTTGATCTTCTAATTATGTGCAGGACAAGCCTGAGCTGAGGGGAGTTCATGGGATCCTGGGGAGTGGGATAATGGCGCTTTTTCTAGTCCATGCTGCTTTTGGACTTCAGCTCGGTCTCAGTTACTGATATCCTCCCTCCTCCTCTCATATGATTTTGTATTATTCTTCAGCTTCAACCACAACAATTTAATTACTTGAGAAGATAAATAGAGGCAAATAAATTTGTAAAATAATGTGAACATGATTTGTATTGTTTATAATTTCTATATGTTACATAAACTGATGCTCATATTTTTTTGTTACTTTCGTTTTTGAATTAACACAAACCAATTGGTCTGAGTGTTTTGAGTTTCTTGGGTTTTCAGCTTCAACATCGTAAACATCATTCGGATTATATATATATAACTGAGACAAGGTAGCATTACATAGGACAGATTTTGCAAGTTTATCTGCAGCAGAGTTTAGAAGCCTATCCAGAAATTCAAAAGAGACATAGCTGAAAGAAAGAGATCCCGTAGAGACCAAAGAAACCCAAACGTTAACAACATCCCCTTTGGAGCAAAACATACTGTAATATTAATATAAACTCTTGAGAACCTTTTCTGCATTGATTATCTTCTCCTTAATAACATCTCCATCTGGCTGCGACATCGAGGCTCTGAGCTCAGCTAATGCTACAACTGCATTGTTTCTCAACACTTCTCTCTCCGCCAAGCAACTTGTAAGAGACGACATCACTAGTTTGGCCTCCTCGAGAGTTGTGGAGGAGCAGCCTAATCCAACCTCAATACACTTATCAATCTCATCTAAAGTCTCTTGAAGTGTTTCTCTTGGGAGAGAAGTCGTAACAGTGACTTCTCTCTTAGTACTCATCCAGCAAACATTCAAACAAGATTCAGAACAAACTCCCTGTCTGAATCTCGAGGGCCTAGAAAAAAAAGGGGAAAAAATGATTTAGTTACGAGAAAATGCTTAATCCCAACTCAATTCCCCTGCAATGATTTGGGAGTAAGATTTATTATTCTGTGTGACAGATAACATTCTGTTTCTGAAATATCAAAAAAGAACCGGGTTGGAGTTAATACAAACGATGTCGATACCGGGTCGGGTTACTCGTCCCACCAACCACACTCCACACCAACGACAACGAGGTTGGTAAGATAATATCAAATTACATCTCCACCGTCCAACACAAATCAACGGCCTTAAAAGAATCACTCTACCCTACACTCAAAAACACATAATCAAATCTCCTCCAACCATATAATCCCAACGAAGGTTACCACGAGAAGAGCGGACCAACCACACACAGAGCGAGTCTCACTCCGAGTCACCCGGCGAGTTTTTCAATAAATCTCTCCCAGATCTCGAATCTCTCCTCTATACACTTCCTTACCAGGTTTGTCTCTCTTCGACCCATTTCTCCTTTAGATCTGTTTTAGTTATAATTTCGTTAGATCTGACGAAAGTTCGAACCTTTAGATTGTGTCGGTGGAGAAACTATTCAAAGGTTTAAACTTTATTGATTTTTTGTTTAAATTTTGTAGCTTTTAGAGAAAATGGAGACGTTTTTGTTCACATCCGAGTCCGTAAACGAAGGACACCCCGACAAACTCTGCGACCAAGTCTCCGACGCGATCCTCGACGCGTGTCTCGAACAAGACCCCGAGAGCAAAGTCGCTTGCGAGACCTGCACCAAGACCAACATGGTCATGGTCTTCGGCGAGATCACGACCTCCGCCAAAGTGGACTACGAGAAGATCGTTAGATCCACTTGCCGTGAGATTGGTTTCATCTCCGCCGACGTTGGCCTCGACGCCGACAAATGTAACGTCTTGGTCAACATCGAGCAGCAGAGCCCCGACATTGCTCAGGGAGTTCATGGTCATTTAACAAAGAAGCCTGAGGATATTGGCGCTGGTGATCAGGGACATATGTTTGGTTACGCTACTGATGAGACTCCTGAGCTTATGCCTTTGACTCATGTGCTGGCTACTAAGCTTGGCGCGAAGCTTACTGAAGTGAGGAAGAACAAGACTTGTCCGTGGTTGAGACCAGATGGGAAGACTCAAGTTACCGTTGAGTATAGGAACGATGGTGGAGCGATGATTCCGATTCGCGTCCACACGGTTTTGATCTCGACTCAGCATGATGAGACTGTGACCAACGATGAGATCGCTGCTGATTTGAAGGAGCATGTGATTAAGCCGGTGATTCCCGCTAAGTATCTTGATGACAACACTATCTTTCACTTGAACCCGTCTGGGAGGTTTGTGATCGGTGGGCCTCATGGTGATGCTGGATTGACCGGGAGGAAGATTATTATTGATACTTATGGTGGTTGGGGAGCTCATGGTGGTGGTGCTTTCTCAGGGAAAGATCCTACCAAGGTTGATAGAAGCGGTGCTTACATCGTGAGGCAAGCTGCGAAGAGTGTGGTTGCTGCTGGACTTGCGAGGCGTTGTATTGTTCAGGTTTCGTATGCTATTGGTGTCCCTGAGCCTCTCTCTGTGTTTGTTGATACGTACAAGACTGGGACGATTCCGGATAAGGATATTCTTGTGTTGATTAAGGAGGCGTTTGATTTTAGGCCTGGGATGATGGCTATTAACCTTGATTTGAAGAGAGGTGGGAACTTTAGGTTCCAGAAGACTGCTGCTTATGGGCATTTTGGGCGTGAGGATCCTGATTTCACTTGGGAGGTGATTAAGCCACTCAAGCCAAAGGCTTAAACAGAAAGGTGGTAGGTGCAAGAACTCTGATGAGTTGCTGAGACACTCTCTCTCTCTCTCCCTCTTCACTATTGGGAACTTTATCCATTAATTATACCATTGTTATTGGGGAAGATTTGAATAATGTTATACATTTTACTATTTGTTTTTGCTGCTATTGGAGTTCGAACACAAAGGCCATGTGTGTGTTAGTGAACGAA